ATGGATGGATGGATGGATGGATGGATGGATGGATGGATGGATGGATGGATGGATGGATGGATGGATGGATGGATGGATGGATGGATTTGTGACCATGGGGAAAATTATGTAGCTTAAAAATATTATGAATCCAGTATTAGAATAGTATAGAACAGAAAGTAATAAAATAAAGTGGTAATATTTACCATTGAGACTTTAAAATGCTTCAGGGGTTCAGTGAGCATTCTAAACACAATATCATCATCTCACCTGTTTCTGGATGACAGGTTCCATGCTGATGGCAGTTGCAAGGCACACATGTTGAGAAAGGCCCTCTGCTTGGGTCTTCCCTGGTGAATCCAGGGGCGCAACGCTCACAAAATTCGCCTGCAAAGCCCTGAGGACATGAGCAAGTTTCCACCCACGGAGCTGGAGCACTGGCTGGACTGGAGAAGATGGAAGCGGAGGTCAGGGTTACCCCCGCAAGCTGTGATGTGTCTGGAGAGGGAGGAGGAGGAAGGTGGGATGAAATTAGTCATAAAAAAAGATGCTCATTGCATCTGTAACTGGTAAATTAATCATTGTTATTTTTTCAAAAATGAAAGTTTGTGAGGTGCCCATCTTTAAGTGGGATTCATTTTCTCAAATTGCAACATTTTTCACAATGCTATGTGACTGACTAACTCATTGTAGCCCATAATGGTGAACTCAAAGAAATTATGTTCTGCTTTATGTTTTTGTAAGTTTTTCTTTGAGAGGCCCTCGATTTCTGTAGGCTGTTTTTTCTGCTTATATAATAACAAATTACAGTATCTTCTTCCCATATATGCAGAAAAACAGATTCATCCTCCCACATGCAGCTGGATGCCACACCTAATTTTCACTTCAGCGCAAGCACACATATGCCTGCATGAACCCACACACATACACTCATTTAAAGGATCTTTGATATCGCAAATAGAAAAAAAGGAATTCCAGCGGAGCAGGACATGAAAAAATGGAGACAGGAGACCCTGTGGTGGTATGTCAAACACGCAGGTCCTGTGGGGTTTTCAACATCCCTCGCTCTTCTCATGAATAGTGATGGGGGCAGGCCATCCTGAACTGAAAGCTGTGCGCCCTCTAGTCTCTGAAAGGCAGTCACAAAATTACTTTTGGTCCCATCGTGTCTATTGCTGTGCTTCCTCTCACCTACACCATGATTAAACTGATAACTAGATGGCTATGTAGACAGGTACCATGTTTGCATGAGATGCCACGTAATAATCAGTGAAAGGTGAGAAATATGTGAGAAGTGGAGTAGGAGGACGGACCTCGGCTTCTAACAAGCTACGATCCCGCCGTTCCTTCAGCAGTGATGAAACCCACTTCATTTGCACCTCAGAGGGATAATAAGTCGCAAGCCTGTCCTCCTCCCTCTCCCTCGATGTGGCTTAGCCTTCACCCTTTACTCTTCGCTTACTCCCCATGTCTCTTAGCTCATTCAGCACAGGGGATATCTGCAATTAAAGCAGTTTTCAGGCAACGAAGTCTATATTTATGTTAATTGAAAGCTTTTCACTTGAAGTCACGCTGTGCAAGTTCTCTCCATCACTCCTTTATTTCAAAGAAGCCTTGTCAAAGCTGTCCAGATTTTTACTTAGCATTAAAGCCTCACTGCCAACTGACAGACTATTAAGGTACCTGCATGTTAAACCATTAAACCATAGATTGCTCATAAACATTCAATATGGCCACACACTGTTAAAAGCTGAACTTTACGGGTGGAGAAAATGAGAGGCTATTAACTATATTTCTGTTTTCAGACCCTTTACTTCAAGAGGGATTTAAAATGCCAAATAAGACATTATTTCAAGTATTTTCTCCCAGCCTGTTGCCAAAAGGCTTATCTGAAACTGTTGAGAATGGGTAACACAAATCAATGTATACGTTTTCCCTCCCTCTTAAGTGTCAAGACATGATACTACATGGGAGGCATGCTCATTTGGATGGGTACAGCAAACAGTGTGATGGAATATGCATGACTGTGCCTCTGTTTGTTTGTGCTCAAACTTTTGTGGCCCTGTTTGTTCATGTGTTGGAAGTACACAAGACTGGATGTTGCATCGCCTGCTTGGAACAACTAATTAAAATGGTGCAAGTAAGTGTGAGCGAGCTAGTAATTTGGGCCAGCTGTGCTTTTCTTCTTACTGCTCTAATCTGTCGTAGTGTCTCTTAGATCCAGCTTGTTCATTACAACACAGGCTAAAAGAAAGAGGCATTACGTGGAAGAACAGGAGATTTTTTTGTGTGAAACGTGAAATAATAGAGAATGAATGTCTACTTCCAATTTTAATTTGTGGTGCTTTGTGGGGATGATGCGTGACTGGATCAGCCAAATTTCGGAGTGATCACATTTGACCAGTGATTCAACTTTTTGGGAAAGCAAATTGTGTCACATATTGTGTCACACCCTTCCCATGTTAATTAGCTTTTCACCATAATTAGCCGATATTCAGACAAACACATATGTGGGAACTTTAGGATGAATCATTCTCACCCTTCTTAATGAGTAGCAGGTGCCATCACCCCCTCCCCTCCCAGTGTTTCTGTAGCAGACTCTAACAGAGTTAGTGTTCAACACTCCCTTCTAGATTGCAAACGATTTGTGAATGTGCAAAGCCTCCTCTGGCTGTGACATACCTACTCATGATGTACGTAGTTTAGACTGTCATAACTCCTAACTCTAACACAGGGACATGTCTTTTGGCATAAAAAAACACAAAAGCCAACTCACAGTTGTGTCCTCCCGCATTGCTGATTTTCAAAACGGTTAGATTGTAAAGGAGCCGTTGGAACTCGAAGGCAGACAGATGAGGCTTGAATCTCGTCTCATATTCATGGAGCCTGTGAAATGAGCAGACAGGTAACATCAGTTACGGTACATTTGCACAACGCGTGCACAAACTGTGATTAAACACTTGAATGGTCACATTGTAACAGTACAATTGCAACAGACACAGGTTTCCTACATCACCTCCCACAACACAGATAAGAAATTGTATGCTATTCATACGATTCTTTTCATTTCAGTTATGTGCTATATAAAGCACAACCAGCAGATATACAGGAAGCACCAGAATAGAAAATAAATGTGCTGACTTTAACATATATGCGGGGTCTTGATCACTGAGCTTTGCCATCTGTTAAAAGATGTTCTGCAAAGCCGGGCAGCTCAGCTGACATCTGCCTGTTTTACTCCCTGAGTCTTGTATCCGTTCCATTTCGATGACAGGTGCTGTGTCAGCTTTACATAGCAGATCTTGAAAAGCAAAAAAAAAACCAAAACCCTCATTTATTCTCAATAAAGATGATAAAGGTAGCATGTCTTTTTTAAGCTATTCATTATGTTTGCAAAATGCAACAATTCATAAAAAACAGAAGTAATAACCATAAGAGATTAATGTTGGAGTTTTACTCAGCAAATTGACAAGAGATGTTAGTTTTCTGGATCTGTAGAACTGGTTATAACACACGTACAGACAAACATCTTAGTATCTTTCAAAGAAAAAATAAAGACTTTACATTTATTGTTAAATATAATTTTATCTGAAAGACTCCCACTACATTTTACTTAAAGATGCCTTGGTAGTTGAATCATGTAATTGTTGCAATATATATAGTTTAGTAATAAGGTAATTTAATATTAAATGTATTAAAAGGAAGGTACAGTACTTTATTGCTACGAGAGGGAAATGTACAAACTCCCCCCAAATAACATGATTGTGTAACTAAAACAGTTTGAACAAGGTTTAATTGCTTTAAAAGGAGCATTGGTAAACATAATTGTATGTAACTATTCTATGCTTTTTATTTGCTTATGGTACAGCTATTTATCTTCAGTTATTTATTTGTTATGCTGAAGTACTCATTTTTGATAATAGGGAAATTTATTTTTAGAGTCTGGTTTGCGTGATGCACTGATGCATGTTCTCAAAAAAGCTGAGTTTAAATCTTAGTTGCCACATTTTAATGATTTTGGTCAAACTGATTTTTATTATCAGACCAATTGAATCTGAGTAAATACTAATAGTTTTAAAATCATGATTAATTATTATGGGGTAAAAAACAGTAAACAAGAAAATTCTAAACTTACCTTGTCCTACAGTATGTACAAACCCACCCTTGACAGTCAGTAATCAATGATTTCTCCGTTTGTGGACAATCACTGAAGGTGGTTCAGTAGAGTTAAAAACTAAACAAGTGTCAAACTTCCTTTGGGAAACAGCTGCTAATAATACCATTTTATTTCATTTTTTAACCTTCAAAGGGTTTTAGACTCACCATTCTCTGCATATTTGTTTTTATTTATCCAAAAATGAGGGTTTTAAAGAATGACTAACCTGTTTGTTTATATCAGATCATCTGATTTGAATAAAGTCTGGAATTTGATTAGAAAACTTTGAAGTGTTAATGCAATTTTTTAAATTTAGGTTTTTTACCCATTCAGACATGGACTTTTCTTTTTCTTGCAGCATGGTAATACTTGTGATGTCATAAACTGATGAGCAAAAAATCCCTGAAACCCTTATCTTTTTTGATAAGATTGTCTAGTATAAAAATAAATAAACACATAACTACTTGTGTTTCTCTAAAATAATGTCTGCAAATTTTTAGACGGGCATTATAGGACTCACACCTTTCAAAGTATTTTCTACACATAAAATATTCCCCCTCAGTCATAAAGTTTATTAGGACATTTTTTTGGAAATTACAGAAGAGCCTTTTTTTGGTAGCTGTGGTTTTAGGTCCACGGGACACGTGTTTTTTACTGTTCTCTATCATTGTTGTATCATGTAACAGAGACATAGCATCCCACTCTTTTGTGATATCAGCACAGTGTTTAACACCTCTTGGAGTACAGTAGTAGCCATTCAATATGTCTCTGCTTTTCGTCATGGGCCCTTGGCTGGTCCCCTACAATTCTTTTTAATGGATCAAACTTTGTACCAAAATATTCTTTCTGTCATGATTTGTGGACTTTAAGATCTAAAGAGAAGCGTTATCTCCTAGTCAGACCCTGTAATTCAGTGAAAGGGTAGTCAGAGTAAAAAATATGCATACCCAGGAGAAAGAGGGCATCACTCCAGTGGCTAGAAGTTGAAGGTGATTTTGCTGGGAGTTGCAGGGAAGTGGGCTGCCATATGACTGGAAAGGGCCATTTTGAATGGCTGCTACTGTAGGTAGGTTGGTGTGCTGGTCACTCCTTGGAAGGCTATTCTCCATTTGTGGACAATTAAAGGAATAGTACACCCAAAACATGGTTAGCCTTCATTTTCTACTCACCCCCATGCTGAACAACACCCTGGAGTACTTTTTTGATATCTCAAATGCATCTGGAGATCTGGGAGGCTTCTTGCTGTCTGCTGACATTCAAATAATGGAGGTCTATGGTGCCTGAGACAGAAAGGTCCATAAAAGTCCACAAAAAACGTGTCAATATTCCTCCATACTGCTCGTCCAATGTATTCCAAGTGTCCTGAGTGGGTAGCATCCAGAATTTACTCGAAACGAAGTCATTTAGAATGTTTTTAGAGCATAAACAGTAGTGTAGAGGATTTCCTGAAAGCGCGCACATGCGCGTTCACGACCCTACGGAAACAGGCAGACCTAACCAGATGAAAGTGCGCATTCAGCGTCTGCTCTTGATAATGCAAGCGTAGAAGAAGAAATGTGCTGTTTACCTGTGCAAAGAAAGAAACAACGAAAGAAAAATGTCTGAGGACTTCAGTGTTGAGGAAGAGCATGAGTTCTTTGCTGAGCTGAATGCCACTTTCATCTGGTTTGGTCTGCCGCGGTTTCGTGAACTCGCATGCATCCAGAATTTACTCGAAACGAAGTCATTTAGAATGTTTTTAGAGCATAAACAGTAGTGTATAGGATTTTCTGAAAGCACGCACATGTCCGGCATGTCCTCAGACATTTTTCTTTCGTTGTTTCTTTCTTTGCACAGGTAAACAGCACATTTCTTCTTCTACGCTTGCATTATTGGCAGAGCAGACGCTGAATGCGCACTTTTGTCTGGTTTGGTCTGCCGGTTTCCGTAGCGTCGTGAACGCGCATGTGCGCGCTTTCAGAAAATCCTCTACACTACTGTTTATGCTCTAAAAACATTCTAAATGACTTCGTTTCGAGTAAATTCTGGATGCTACCCACTCAGGACACTTGGAATACATTGGACGAGCAGTATGGAGGAATATTGACACGTTTTTTGTGGACTTTTATGGACCTTTCTGTCTCGGGCACCATAGACCTCCATTATTTGAATGTCAGCAGACAGCAAGAAGCCTCCCAGATCTCCAGATGCATTTGAGATATCAAAAAAGTACTCCAGAGTGTTGTTCAGCATGGGGGTGAGTAGAAAATGAAGGCTAATCATGTTTTGGGTGTACTATTCTTTTAAGGTGATTTACTAGAGTTCAGAAATTAAAAAGGTATCCATTTAACAATCTCTTATTATTAAAAGGCACTAACTTGTTTTCAAAGGCTTTTCATGTTCCTTAGATCTGGAAAGATGTGTCTGTATTTACTTATCCGTAGGCCTACTTTAAGCTTAGTTTTGACTTCACTCTTAAGGCAAGGCTAGTTAACCTGAACCATAACCTTTTTGTTGATTGTAGTTAATTCTAAAAACAAACATCAATTTAAACTGTTTTTTGTATTCACACACAAAAAATAGTTATCTGAAACAGTAAGGGGTGATGATAAAAATCTAAACAAAAATGAAACCTGTAAGTGGGAAAACATTTTTCTATGTGTGAAATGTATTTAAATGAAGCCAATTGTACAATCTTGTAAGTGCAATAAAAAGCTGTTAACAGTTACTGCTTAGAAATTACAGACACATTTAAGCAATTTGCTTTTTGCTCCATTTTGAAATCCATTATAATTGCTAGTTGCATTAGTGTCCTGTGGACACATTGAAATGGAGCATTTGCTGCAACAAGCAAACTGCATAAAAAAAAGAAAAGAGGAATCAAATTACAAAGGAAGAACTTTGTAATTACAGACAAAAATGAAGTCAAAACCTAAGTTTTTAAACCATATCAGCTTAAGTCAGGACCTTTATGTGTGAGCATTAAACAGCTTCCATTTCATTAGGTCAATTGCTCTCAGCATGACATTAATTCATTTCCAAAATGATTTATTTTGTGCCTGGCCTTAGTCTTATCATTTGCATTTACAGCATGTGTCTGTGTGTATAGGTGTGGGTGTGTTTGGCTGTCCACACTCTGTTGATGCGGAGGGTCCTCATTCCTTGGTCTGACGAATAGGGGTGGTTATAAAGAGAGGCAATTACAAACTCGGCTTCAATGCCATAGTAATGGAGCTGGTCAGGCAGCGATAAGCAGAGTGTGCACGAAAGTGAACAAACTCCCGATCATGCTTTCCCCTATGGAGTGTCACTGTCCCTTTTAATCACAGGCGAGCAGAGAGAAGAGAGCCAAACAGTAATTTAGGCAGTTCTGCAGAGGATCAGAGACAGACCAACAAAAAAAAAAAAAAAAAAAACCAACAACAATAGAGATGGAAGCAGACATGTAAACCCCCTGAGATGCATTTGGAGGATGATGTGTCAGACAGAGATATACTATAGGTGAGAAACCATAAGATCCTGACAGTAAACATACCCTCAACTGTGAAATAAAATAAAGCATCATATCTACATAATTACACCACTGGTGGGAACAAATGGAAATCATGTCTTGACTGCATGAATTTGCATTAAAAATATTGTAATTAAACTTAAGTTAAAATATATATGGAAAGTAAACTAGCTTTGTGTTTCCTGAGCTACGTGAAAACAGACATTGGTATTTCATGGTTATGCACCCATTATTTGCTGC